GGGGCAAGAACCCACCCGTGGCACCCCACTGCTTGTGGGGGCCGGTGGGGCAGCCCCAATATGGCGGCATTGCCACCGCAGCAGGGTCATCGGCCCCGCTTGGGGATCCTCACACGAAGGCGCCCGGGGTCCCATCGCGATGGCCGCGGGTGCCAAGCGGGGGGGTCCGGCAGGACGGCCCCTGAGGCGTCAGAGTCGCCCCGACCCCACAGAGAGGGTCAGGGCTCCTCGGGAGCGGGGGGCACCCCTGTGGGCGAAGCGCCTGCAAAATCCACACAAATATCGGCGCGCGCGTGAAAACCCTAACGTGGAGGTCCACGGGGCACCCACCAGCAGATAGGTGCAAAGCTGGGGATCCCCCCCGCCAGACCCCAGGGGGTGTTTGGGGGGGCCAGGTGGCCACCACTGGCCGCCCCGGAGCATCTCAGAAAGAGCCAGCTGAGTCCAGGGGAGGGAGGCAGCCGGGGTGTATCAGGCCAGCATGGGGGTGTAGGAGCGGAGCCCAGAACGGGAGAAGTGTTTTGGGGGCTCCTGGGAGGTGGGAGGTTGGGGCTGGGTGGGCGATGGAGGAGCGAGGTGCCATTGCAAGGTCTGGGAGCTGGAGCACGAAGGGAGGCTGGAGGCCAGCGCAGGGTGAGAGGGAAGGGAACGGCGGTAGGTGCCGTGGAGCAAGAGCCAGATGCTTCCAAGCTTCAGGAGACCTCGTTAGCGAGGAGCTGCTTCAGCACAGTCATCCCAAAGTCAAGAACTGCAGTTCCTGCAGTCGGGCTACAGATGGAGGAGATAAGCGTGATGGGGGAGAGCTCACGAGCCGCCATACCGGGCCACTCCTGGGTGCATCTAGGCTGGGACCCCCATGTCAACTTCCAAATATACAATGTAAGCATGGGGCTGTTGGCACCAAAAGGCCTAAGTTGCAGCCCTGCCGGCACTGTGCAGTGCAGAAAGCAGTCGTTGCTTCAAGTCGTACCAAGCTGGTGGGCTGCAACGCTCTGAATCCTGCTGCCAGTCAGCGCCCGTGCCGAGTTGGTGGGCCACTGAGACTGGGAAATAGTTCCTGTTTTATGCAAGCCTTTGGGAACCAGTGCTGTTTCCCTCTCTCACTGCCGGGCCAGTTTTATCACAGAACTTTGTCTCCGTTCCGAGAAGTTAAAATTTAATTGATTTTTTTGTAGTAATGACATTTCCTTACACATGCTCCATTGAACCTCTGTAGTTTCACAGCCTACATAACAGCAAACAGATGGGAAGGTAGGTAATAAAGTACACAGCCACTGCCGAATCCAGCTGAGGGCTTGCCCTCCTACCCTGGGTGGGTACACATCAGCCGAGAGGGAATTTGCTGGAGCCCAACACCGCTCACGACATTGCTGCGAGTGGCAGGCCCGTACAGGCACTGAGCAAGGAGGGCTCTGACAGAGACGGCTCCTGGAAGGATGGATCTGAATCAGATCCCAGAAGAGGCAGCTCTCAGTGTGGCTGGTGGGAAGCAGAGTTTGGGGTGACGTTGCCTGGCAGGTGGGTGCAGGGTCTGGGGGGACGGTCACCACCTCAGCTCTCCCCCTGTTGCTGGCTGAGGTGACGGGAGGGAATTTGAAGAAATCCCGAATGTAGACACAGCCCTTGGGGATGAAATCGGAATGTGTGTACGGACACTTTAGCTACCTTTATTTTAATCATTTAGGGCTTAAAATAAGAACTCTTTAATTAGAAACATTCCCTTAATTGAATTGTAATCAAGCTTTTAGTGCTGTTAGCCTGGCTAACCATGTGATCTAATAACACCCACCTTCTTCTCTCCAAGCATTGCCTAGTTACACCTCTTCTTACGGAATGATTTATATCAGGGACCCTGGGCCAGGGCACCCTGTCTCCATCAGCACTGTCAGTGCTCAAGTGGTACAACAGGTAACTCCTGCCCCAGTGTCCAAAAAAACATAGGTGTTGCATATAACACAAACAGCAGGACCCCAACTGCAGAGAGGTTGGGGTTGGGAAGGGAAGGGAAGGGAAGAAATTTGAGGGAGAGGCAGAATCCACGCTCACAATCTGTGCTGGGTCATCTCCGTTCCTCTTCAGTTACCAAACTGGTGGGCAGCAGTAGCCACAAGCATCTTTTCCCCTCTGTGCACCTCTCCAAAAATGAACATCCGCTCAGGTCTAGCCCTGTATTAGGCACCAGAATAGAACAACGAAGGCGCACTAAGATTTTGTTTAAACAACAGCACCTGGAAGGCTGTCTAGACTCCCAGACCCAGCAGCAAGCTGCAGCCGCACTCATAACCGCATGCCAGGATGAGACCCCAGCAGGCCTCAGCTCATCCCTTCTCCCTGGTTTGCCTGGGAAGGATCTTTGGGTGTAGAGCATGGAAGGGAGTCAAGGCTCCAGCCAAGTCCCTTAGCTCAGCAGCTGGGGGACCTGCACCTGGGACACCTCATGTCTACCTTTCACAGGGTTCAGACCGGGCCAAAGCATCCCTAGATGATCCAGGGAGTGCTGTTGCTGAAGGCAGGCAAGCAGAAGATGGGCTACATGGGGTGGCTCTGCTTGCAGGCCCTTTGGCTGCTGTCCTGTTCGCATGGGAAGGTCCTTGGGCAGTCCCCAGCGCTCACACTGCAGCGCTGCAGAGGTTACCCACAGCAATATGTCTTGAGCTGAGTCTTGTGGGGTGGTGTGTCCAAGGGGGCTATAGCTCACTGGGCACCCAGCCAGCCTCACCACTGCCCGCCATGTCATTCCTCAGGTAGGAAAGGAAAAGAAGGGCTAGAGTTGCCCTGTTTATTCACAGTGTCACTTCTGGGTGGCCATCCAGAGTCACCATATATGATATACATAGCACCTAGTAAAATTCATGGGAAAGCTGAGCTCCAGTGACCTAGCAGACATCAGAGAACTGCGAGGTCGCATTTGGCAGTTCTGCCTGATCCGCAGTGAGCAGAATCCTGTTTCACCCACTATCTGCAGAGGGACATGCTGTTTTGAGGACCAAAGCCACTTCTTCATGGAGAGACTTGCCTGTGCTAGGAAAGCGTGAGCAATCAGGGAAAGAGCAGAGAAAACTTCATTTCTGTGCTGAAGTTCCACTTCTGCAAGGCCAGTGAAAGCAAGAAAATATGAGAAGTGAGAACGAACGCATTTTCACCTGCAATTCAAGAGCAGAGGTTCCTGAGGAGGCAGGCACCTGTGGCTTGACACATCCAACAGAGCAGAACAGAGTTGTTCAAATCATTAACTCACAGTTTATTCAGAACATGCAGCCCTCACTCAAAAAACGATTAATGTTCACAGGGTCTTTTTTATGGGGAACACACTCTAGTTTCTCAGTACTTCCCAAATAATAATAGATTTGCCTTTTCAATACTCATACCAAGCAAGAGAGTAGCATTTAAGAGAAGACCCAGCATTCCTGGAGGAAAGGTCAAATGCAGCCTGCAAGGTGGGGATGCTGATCTGAGTGCTTTGCCAGAGCACTCTGCATTTTAAAGCTTTTTCTACAGTCAAGTGCAAGTCCCCATTCACATGCAGCAGAGAACAACAAATACTCCTGCAAATGAGACATCAGGATCCCAGGATAGCACAAGGCTAAAACCAAAGCAAAACGCCAAAATAAATAAAACATAGCTAATAGCTACCTCTAAAAAGGTTGCTGTGAGTGACTCGCTCAGCATCAGGTAGGAAATCCGCAGCAGGGGCAGGGATCCAGGCCAACACACGACTGTCTCAGCAATGAGTCACTCCTTTTTCTTCACACTTTTTGGGGGGGGAAGAAAAAAAAAAAAAAGGATGATGCTGAGTCCCTGCAAAGAGCCTTCTTCATGACACAGCCCAGACTCACCCAGAACACCATCTAACCTGTGCGCTGCAGGTGTCCTGTGGAAAATAAATCTGAGGCCACATAATTAAAGGCTCAATCGTAATTCATATGCATGAGGACATTGAAGGGCAGTTGTACAGCCAGCCTTGGTGCTGCCATTTCTCTGTGATGAGAAATGTGTATTCTGATATAACAAATAGCAGCAATGGCCTGTTGTCCTCAGTCTGGAGCAGAGCTGGCGAGAGGTGAAACGTGCTGTTGGGTGGCATTGGAGGTAACAGCACAGGAGCACTAAGACTTGGGAGAAGACTCTTGTTCGGGCACTGGAGAAACCTGTGGTCCCAGAAACACAAGCTGATACGGCTGTCCTCCCTGCTCCCCTTGTCCCCTCCAAGCTTTCCCACTTTTGGCTTCCCTTCTTCAGGCTTGTCATGAAGCCCTGGGCTCTGGGCTCGGCCATTGCCCCCTCCCAGGTCCACCTCACCTGCCCTTCCCTGTCTCTTCCCCACCACAACCCCCAGGCCCAGTCTTCTTCCCAGACAGTACCACACTGGCTCAGCTGTGTGTCCTTGGCTGGTCAGTCCCAGCCTTCCCACCACATGCCGTCCCCCTCCACACAAGCTGTCCCCTGTCACCAGTCCAAGCCTTCCTGGGCAGTGGGTTGGTGGCAGCTCCCCTCCATCCCCAGTCCCCATCTGTCACCAGAATACCCCACTCCCCAGGCAAATGGTTTGAGCGCTGCCTGCCTCCCTCACGTCCCCCCTGCCCACCCCACTGGTGATCACCCCTCCTCATCTCTTCCCATTCCCCATCTCGCCACCCCGGCCAGCCTTGCTTTCTGCTCCCAGTTCCCCTGCTCAGCCAGCCCAAGTCACTCT